ATTAAAAGAAATGCTTACATCTCGCAGTATTTGTCTTCTTTCGGTTCTAATGAATTGGAGAAAAGGGACCCAATGTTTCAAGTTTCTAAAAATACCTCACTTACACCTGCTTTCCTTGGACCTGCACTCCTAATTAATCGGAAAAGATTGCGACTATTGCCGATAGTCGCAGCCCTTCTCCATTTCTCTACACTTTCCTACCCACCACTTCTCGCGGTCATTCCTCAGACTCTTGATGAGCTGGCGCTTAAGGGATTTGCGCGCTTTGTCGTATCTTGAATCCGAGGGAATGGCTTTGCGAGCGTCTAGCAGGGCAACCGAGGTCGAGGAGATCCATCGATTTTGCTTACATCGTGCACCTGGGTTCGCCGTTGTTTTGATTAAAATTTGGATCGCTTTCTTGGTTTGCCGACCAGTGTTCACTGAGTCCTCCGGCTGATGGTTGTACTGAGAGACGACCTGACAGTTCCGCTTCGAAGGCCGAGTTGCAACCATTGCTGAAGTCCTGGTCACTATTTTGATTAAATTAACCACTTGGCTATCACCACCACCGTTCTTCATTCCCATAGAACATTGCTATGAACACCAAACGCTCTTCGACGGGCGGAAAGTTCCAATAGAAAAGGGACGGGTAAAAGCTATTCTACTTATTTCACTGCTTAAGGCAATTTATGCACAGTGGTTTAGTAGTTACCACCGACATGTTTTGGACCCAATGGTCCGAGGTTCGAGCCCCGCCACCGCCACCCGACTTTGGTGGTAGGCAGCTTTCCTGTCGTCGACATTTGTTCAAACCTGATATTGGTGTCAGTGAATTCTATCACTCGACCACTGTTATTCGATTCCACGGACCATCGGAGTACAAAAATAAAAGTCAATAATTTGTGTATCATAACAGTCGGTTACCTCATCACCAATTGGTCTCATGGACGATAACGATCGTAAGGGATCTCCAACGAACGCGGCGAGCACGGATTCATTTGATCCCGACGAATTGGATGTGGACTGTTGTATGTGCGTCTGGGCAGTCGAAGAGGCGCGGTGGACTTGCTGTTGTGATTGGTGCTGGTGTTGCTGTTGTTGTTGCTGCTGCTGCTGTTGCTCGTGTTGTTGCTGACTGAGGTGACTGGGGAATGGGACAGCCAATGTCTGCAATTCCACGGAATTTTTTGTACTTGTTGGTGTCAACCGTGAAACTCGGCCTGTGCTCCTGAGGGTAGATATGAGAATACAAGTGCGAAGCGGTAATGAAGCGGTAAGTTAACTATTTCATTCTACTGTTAAAGTGGTTTCACTGGAACAAAAATTCTAGTACTATGACTTTGTGAACACAGTCTCTGGGACCCGGGTCCCTCTCTTAATCAACTAAGGTTCTAAAAGTGATGGAAATATTTGTGATAAACGACAAAGAGCACCGGCGACAGCTATTTCATCCTATTTTGGACTGCTCAATAACATTGTGTCCCTCTGTTAAGACTTGAACCTCGAACCTTCGGATTGGGAGTCAACACCGTTACCCCTGAGCTGCACGGCCGATGACCATCACCTTGTGCGATGGTTTAATCAATTGCGGATAGTGTATATTCGGATTATCCGAAAGGGGTTAACCCAACGATACTCGGTCTAAGATTGTGAAGTTCCATGCGATCAGTTTGGAATAGCCAACCCTATGTAGTTGTACTACCATGTGATATAGCCTATCGTTACATGGACGGAATACTCGTATGACATATTATGAAGGTTAGACACACCTATAAATGGATACTTTCCAGTTCAACGGCCCGTAACATGTGTATTCTTTCGTCCGAGTTCACGTGATGTTCACATATGTGGCGTGTGATCGAAATCTGGAAATCAGGAATGCCACGAGACAAGATTGCCAAGTAATTGACAAAGACATTGAGCAGATCAATCGATTGATCATTAATGATGGCCCACTACGCAAGTAGCTAGGGTTCTCCGACGCCCATTTAGAGCTTTCAAGTCAAACTGAATGTTTTTTGTTCAGCAGTTGTAATCGATAGCCTATCGCATCATTCGTGAGCGAGTCTGTACGGGGACGTTATTCGTGGTTGATTATGCAATGTCTGAGAACGGGGTTCTAATCATCAAACCGATCGATATAAGCCCATTTGCATGAACTACCACCACCACCCACCTGTACCAAGCAGTGGATGATCACGTAGTAGATAGAAGCGCAGGCTAATCACATATAAGAAAAAACGAATTAATCTCCTTGCATTGTATAACTAATTGGTCCAGAACGGTTTGTCCAGAGATTGTCTTCGTTCTCACACGTGAGCGGAACTTGATAGGGTTCGAGAAGGGAACCAGTTGATCGGGAAGCAAGTGATTAGTATGCAGTCGAATCTGCCGTCTGTGGAGGACAGCGGATCGAATTGACTCAATTCAGACAATGCGGGGTACCGTATTGCCACGCATTCTGTTCGGAACACATAGGGTAATGGATGCATTTTGTATCCAAGTCATTTCAGGGCATCGATCTAGCCCCGGTTACAGACTGCATATCACCCCTGAAACAAGGAGATAGTGATCTGCTCCGAGGGACAAGAATTTCACACAATTCATTGATAGCTTACTACTACTACTACTACTCACTGGATAGAACTCATGCATAAAAATGGAGGACTGAGTGGCGGTGGTGGCCCGGTGGTCACGTCATCCCGGGGATGTGTGCTCGAATCCCACCACCACCACCACCACCTGACTTCCCCCTTTTTGTGTTTTGAATGACAGCCCTTTTATTGGTGGCTTTCCCTTCCTTGAAATTTTATCTTTGTTTATTCAATAAGAGGAAATAAAATGAAAAGACGGTTCGAAGTGTCCCGAGAGATTCCTCACCCCTGCTCGTTGATGTGACAACTTACTTCAAATCAGCGCCAGGTGTAGGTGTTTCAAGCATCATAGATTCCGATGCTTTCCGATGCTCCATGGTAGGAGTGCACGTGACAAAAAAGTTTACTCTTTTTTCGGAGTTCCTAATACAACTTCATGGATAATCACTGTCAAGGGAAGTGCTGCTGGAGCGGCTCTGAAAAAAACGGGATTGGCAACTGGATAACCTTCAGTATTCAACTATACTCGCCAAAGTGGGACATCAAGAGAAACAAGACGAGCTACAAGCCGCTTTTTCGGTGTCGGAATGTGTGCGAGGTACACGACCCGATCGGTAGAGCGACTGTTCGCTGTGATATTGAAATTTTGTTAAGTTCAACAGTCTCAGTAGGATTCGAACCCACGAGTGGACGCCGCCTACGCTTCTGTACAGCGCATGCTCTACCAGCTGAGCTACGAGGCCGCAGATCAATATCAGTGGTAAAATCAGCAGAGATCGGAAAGTTGGTGCGCAAGGAGGAAATGATCACCTTCTGGGAGCATGCTCTCAAGAGAGCGAAAACACTGTCTTAAAGAACCATCATGCAGATTTGATTTTGATCGCTTACTTCAAGAGCTGAAGTGGATGTCAAGCCGTTTAGGTCACGGTTATTGCTTTTCCCCGTGCAGTTTAAGCCCAGCCACCAATACCCAAATGTGGTAGTAGACAGCTATCCTGTTGTCCCGTTAAATAGCACGCCTGTTGTGGTGAAGCTTGCTAGAGTTAGTTAATCCAAACCTCCGGATTTAGGTTGCTCGTTCTCATGAGTGGACAATGAAACTATGAAATATGGGGTTCTACTTCTTTTGCTGTCTACGGTGCAGAGGTGTGTAATCAGAGAAATCTTTGGCATTGAAGGAACGGGCGCAGCCATTTTGAATTGGGTGTAAGTCGTGCGCATGTCTCACTGGAACTTTGGGTTCATGGTTTTTTTTTATATCTTCCCAACGAGCCACACAGGATAGCTTTTACCCAGCCAGGAGATCTTATAATGCCTGGAAGGTCAGACAAATTTCGTGTCTCCTGGTCCTCCAGGTTAAGGGGTTCGACTTGAGTTAGCGTCTCAGTCGGTAAAAGGTTCAGTTTAGTCCAGTTTGTACAACCATTAACCATGCACTTTCGTGCGTCGGTTTTGGTTGCTGCCCATTCGGATGAAGAATAGGAGAAGACAGGAAAGTACAAGCAAAGTAATCGATCCGAGTAAATGGGCCTCCACTTCGCTTTACCTGCTGCCTTGTGCTCAGGTTCTTCTTAGAGCTAACAGCTTTGGATGAGAATCCTAATCATTCACACAGACTGGCTCGTGGTTATGAAAAGTAGACCGGAACGAGACACACGATCCAACCGATGACAATTCACTTGGATCTGTTCAAGGTTCGCCTTTCGATTGTAAAGGGCGTCCTCTTGTGACCGGGAACAACAGAGGATGTTTGTGAGATGCTTGCACTGCTTGCATTAACTTCTAAAACGATCTACCACAACTAACAAGCGCAGTATATATATACGTTCCAGTCAAGATAGGAGAGAAGTATTGTACTTCCCGGGTTTTCTATTGACCATTGTACCGTTCTGTACACCACGAATTGCGTGTAGAGGACAACCGACCACGGTCAGAGATATCAAGATAAACAGTCGTCTATATATGAGAGCATCAAGTCGGTTGACCAGCGACCACAATGAATTCGCATAGAAAAAATGGGTGTTAGGCTGCGTGATGCACATGGGCAACAGTTGTGTACATCACTGAGCCCTGACTGCAACAAACGCTCCAATGGAGAGAAAACCGTGCGGGGTCCAACAGATGACGAGGCAACGATGACCAAAGTGGTGATTGCGACAATCATATTAAATCATCCAGTGCTCGGTAGCCTAAGCCTCAGTGCACTATAGTATGGTAGTACAATCGGGCAAGTAACACGGACCTTGGGTAAATACAGTCACGCACTAACGCAATTGCTCGAACTCCATCGACTGCGATGGTTGGGGTGTGTGACGTAGGTCAATGACTAGGCTTCTCCAACGCGCCCGCTGTTTGCCGAGGCAAGTAGTAAGTGGAATAATGCTAGGTGGGACCAAAGACATGGCACGAGGGTATGACCACGAGGGATAGCTGAGTTTGATTTTTAAACAGTGATACTCGTGCATCTGCTCATTTAGCGGCATCCTGCATTTTCATCTCAGCACTGTTTTCAGTCCCATACTTAGTCATCATCAGTCGACCAAAAACGGTTAGTCAAAAAAGAGTAATCAAAAACAAGAAACAGCATACAAAAGTGTAAGACTATGGGTTAGGTAAACTGGGAAACTGAACCACTACCTTCAGTGTGTGTGTGTGTGTGTGCGGATGTCATTGAGCTGGGAGCACACAGACAGTGACCAGCGGTGACCAGGTAACAACAATGATAGGAAAACAAAGACAGTCGTTCGAACAGATTTTACAAGAGATTTTAAAAAACGCTGACATTTTTCTTTGCAAATGAAATCTCCTGTGTTGGATGTGTTTGTTCAGAATGAAAGAAAAAGTCTAAACTGGAGTATATCTATAGTGACCCAGACAAAAATCAGTAGTACGGAACATTGCATAAAATTCCCCCCATACCTGACAATTGGATGACAATTTTTTCGATCATATGGAATCACAGAGAAGACGACCAAGCGGATGTTAGGGAATCCTGTCGGAAATAACGTTATCCTGAAATAGACACAGGAAAAAATCAACTGTTACAAAACTACTGTAAACGGGGAGGGGGTCAGAAAACGAATTTTAGCCACAGCGCAGGAGTGATTGCAATCGGGCTACGTCTGTTCACAAAAAAGACAGACACTTCATCTTCCCTAGCTGAAAGTCACCGGCGTTTTGAGACAACTAGAAGAAATCAGTGAAATTATGGAGTTAGAGACTGACAGTCAAC